AGAGAGAGAGAGAGAGAGAGAGAGAGAGAAAGAGATAGAGAGAGAGAGAGATTAACAAAATGCACATCAAATGATGCCCCTCCTCTCTGTTTTAAGACATGACTCATGAGCTGATTTTTTGATATCATGCAAATTTTCGAGGACATCTCTCATATTCATCCTGTCTTTTGGTAATTGTATTGAACAATTTTAACCACTTGATGAGGATACGACTTGCTTACATATTCATGAAGGCTTAGTCCATTTGTGAACATGTAATTTATGTGCTTGTTTCCGGTAAACATTTCCAACATCATGATTCCAAAGCTGTAGCCGTCTCCCTTTGTTGATGCTTTAGCACCAAAGACATACTCAGCACCAATTGTGATTAGTTTGTATCAATGATTTCAAAATCACCTAACCTGATCAGTATTGCCCATTGGACTCGATAATTGGTGGATATCAAGGAATGTTATCCGAAATTGGGAATTGGCCTGGTTGAGAGTGACTTGCTTAGTTCTGTCAAAGAGCGGAGAAGTCACTAAGGGAACCTGTCGATTCTGTCAGTAAAATTGCTTGATTGCCACCCATTTTACTTTTCATTATTTTTAATTTTAAATTCCTTTCCAAAATTTAAAATATTATTTTATTCTTTTTGGACCTATTCCCACACTTGAGAAGTGGACCAACTGATCCGTATCAGCCAACGACTAATCCGGCCACCCGATCCATGTTTCTAAAATACTACTTGTATACTTATTGTAGTTTCAAGAATCTTCAAGTTTCCGAAAAGCTTCCTAATCAATGTACAAATGATATACAAACTAAAAAATAACATAAAATCTATAAAAGATAATTCATTTCAACATTATATTTCTCAAAAGCTAACACGATAGGGAAAGTATACAATGATGCCTATTTATATCCATGCAGGATGCAACCATGAAATATAGCATGTGATCCCAATATAAAAGCTTCCACACTAAAGTGAGTTTACTTCAATCTAATAAGATTTTCATAATTATCTTGAAAATTTTCAAGATATATTTGATGCCTTGCCTAATTTGGTGAAAAAGCAACTTTATGAACAATATCTTTCAGTTTTATTAAATTGTGAAACCTTCTTTATATTTAGATATCAATATTAGAGGTGTGAACGAGCCGAGCCACCTGCGCCTGGGTATGCTCAAGCTTGGCTTGCATAGGTTGAGGACCAACTTGAGCTTGCCTTGAGCTTCATCGATCCTGAACTATCGAGCTTGAGCTTCACTTGATTGAAAGCAAAGATAAACTTAGGCTTGGCCTGACATGACTTGTTTACTTGAACAAGCAGTAAACATACCAAGTGAAGTCATAAACAAAGTATAATACAATTGAGTTGAGTTTATCATTTGAGGTGAGGCCAATATTAAAAAAAATTTATATTGTATTTTTATGTATTCATATAGTTATATGAAAGCTAGCTCAAGCTGAGCTGAGTTTGGCTTGTTTAACATATGAACAAGTGGGCTCAACCTGTCTAGGCATGTTGATCTAGATAATATTGCTCAAGCTTGTTTCATTATGAGCCAATCGAGCTAGCTTTGGCTTGTTGACACTCCTACGAATTCATTTTCAAAGATACTATTGTATTAACCATGCTCCAAATGCACTTTCCAACACTCCAACAAAAAATGCAATAGAAATGATGCTGTAAACATAGAAAGTGTGGTGGTTGTTACCTGGAGGGATGTAACCTGTGGATCCTTTTAGTCCCGAGTGTGCTACTTTGGTTCTCTTGATCAATTGGAGAGAGTAATCTCGCCAACCCAAAGTCTCCTACATTTGCAACCATGTTTTGATCGAGAAGAATATTACCAGGCTTTAGATCACAATGCAAAGTACGTGTTGCACAATCATGGTGCAGGTAGTCTATTGTAGAGGCCTCATCAATACCTATACTCAACTTCTGTAAGAAGTTCAAATTTAGAGAATTCGAGTGCGTTGAAGGATGCAACCACATATCCAAGCTCCCATTTGGCATGAATTCAAACACTAAGGCTTTGAAATCATTACCAATGAGACCACGACTTGAGCAACAAGTGATAAACTTGACAAGATTTATGTGTCGAATGTTACTTAAGGCTTTACATTCAGCTGTGAAACTCTTGAGGTCTCTATTGCATTTTAGGTGGAGGACTTTAACGGCAACAACATTTCCCTTGCCAAGAGTGCCCATGTAGACTGAACCAAAACTTCCAAAACTAATCAAATTTACTGCATTGTAACCATCAGTTGCGATAAAGAGCTCATCATATGAAAGTTTTTTGTATTCCCTCGTCACTGGTGCTGTCAAAGTGATGCCACCTTCTGATTTCTTTTTTCTTAACTCCAACACTAAAATTGTGCATGACAGAATTGCTAAGATGGACAAGATTATGGGCATGATGATTGTTTTCTTAGATAGAAGTTTTCATCCTTCTTGAGAACTATGGTTGGTGCAGGCAGTTAAATTCACCATGGCACTCGTAGCTCCACAAAGCATGTTATTGCCTTGTGTGGTTGGGCAGGCAGGCAGGGTCATAGCTCTTGTACCCCCACAAAGCTTGCTGTTGCCTTGAACATGAACCAAAGTAGGACTCATGAATATCCCTTTATATGGAATCTTCCCTTCAAGATCATTAAATGACACATCTAAGCTCTTAAGGTGTGGAAGATCTTGTAAATAACCTGGAAAATATCCCAAAGTATGGTTCCTAGATATATTTAGGGCCCCAATTGCTTGAATTATGTGGAATCTGTCTTTGTAAATTATTAGAAGAGATATCTAAAATCTTAAGATTTTCCTTGGGACTTAGAAACATGGGATTTGAACCTTCCAATGTGTTCCTAGCCATGCGAATACCTTGGAATGTGGTCGAAATGTTCGTTAGAATAGCACCAATTAACATGTTGCCTGAGAGATCTATGTCAGCAAGATGAGTGGTAAGAATTGGTGCTGGTATGGAACCACTTATCTTGTTTTGAAAAAGGTAGAACTCGTGGAGGCTTGAACAATTTCCAATGCTAAACGGGATTTCTCCGTAGAAACTCTTTCTCGGCAAATCAAATGATTTTAATTGTTGAAGATGCCCAATTTCTACAGGAATCTTCCTTCCAAGTAATTGTTGGCCAAATTCAAATACGTCAAGTTAACAAGGTTACATACATAGTTTGGGATGGTTCCTACCAATCTGTTACCTGAAGCTCCAAAATTCGATGATATGTTGTAGATGGAGCTAGGAATACTACTGTTTAAATTATTTCTACTAAGAAATAAAGACTCCAAATTTTCAAATGGGCAAGTTCCTTAGATATACTCCGTGATGGGGAATTTTCGCACAAATCAATATAGACCAAGGACGAGAGGTTTCCAAATGAAGGTGGGATGATTCCACTAATCTTATTTGCACTCGCCATGAGATTCTTCAAGAGAGATAAACGACCAATCTCTGTAAGAATGTTTTTGAATAATCTGCTCCTTTCGAGGTTGAGGATGAGGATGATTAGGGAGGATAGATTACGAATATGAGGACTGATCGTGCCACTGCAAGTTGAGAAGCTCTAACGTTGTGACTCTCTTGTTTTGGCCATCACATGTGATTCCTTTCCAATTGCACAAGGGAGCACTTGTGTTCCATGAACTCAGTGACCCATAGGGATCCACAATTATCTCACTCTTGAATTTGTAGAGAGAGAATTCATCACTCGAAACATGGGAGAAGGTGGATTGTACATCTAGAACACCTTTTCATGCAAAACACAAAGACCATGACAACACCAATAGGAATTGAAATTGGTATTCTAGAGGTGAGCTCCATATGTGTTATAATTTGAGAAGAAAGATGCTTACCTCAAATCTCCAGTGAGACATTAATAAGGAAAACAGTGCTTTCATCTCGTACGTAGTATATGCAGGGAAAGTAGTACCATGCGCACATCCATAAATACCATGGACTGTCAAGGTATCCACCGTCCATCATAAACGATGAATGGTAGAGTAAGAACAATGTGTGACAACCTGGATTTCAACAGGAATTAGCTGGGGTCCTGAGCCCGAGTTAGATTCCAAGTCTGCTGAGTGGAACTGCCCGATCCGCCTGAGTGTTAATAACAAATATAAGTGTGAAATTTTGACGGTTTTTGGATTATTCATCTGGATTTGATGCCGCCCGGCCGGGGCCGAGTGACTTTGGCAAGTCTGGGTCGATATTTTAATCAAATTGAGATCGTCACTACAATGACTAAAGATTGCAAAAATCTGACGGAAATATGATTCATCTCCGCCGTCCACCATTGGAGATAAACGGTGGATGTTAGCTCGTAATGGTATTCCATGCACATGTATGTTGTACTTTTCCTTAGCCTATGTCATGGTGGTCCACACTACAAGGACTGACATGGTTTTGTTTCTTCTTGGAATGTAATATTCAGTGTAAACCCTAAGGTGTTGAAAACAAAAAGAGTTTTGAATTCAAAACTTGAAGGAAAAGAAAGGAAACGAAAGAAGAGACCTTAGGAGCTAGTGTTGCAGGTACATATTTTATAACTTTGAGTGTATATTATGCTCCAACAGTAGCATTTTGTACACTTACTCCCTCAAATACTTATGTGGGATGATTTTTCGATATGAAAATTTGGGGTGTGCATATGAATCCTTAAATGATGACTTTTACGAAAGAAAAAAAGGGATTTTGGGTTTTTTTAGGTCATTCAGTGGGGGGAAGACCTGCCTAGTTAGCTTTTATGAAGGTGTCGTGTCAGCAGGATTTAGGGCTGCCAACGGGACCGGCCCGGCCCTGAGGAAGCCCGGGATTGTCTAGACCCGACCCTTAAATAGACCTGTCAAGGCCCAGTCCACAACAGCGCGGAAAAAGCTCATAGGCCCACGCCCGACATGGCCCGTTAGGGCCAAAATCTTTATATAGAGCCCAACCCGACACAAAAAAGGCCCGTTATACCTATAGGCCTGGCCCTGCCCAATTCAAGCCTCTGTTTTATTTTTTAGAAAATTTAAAACCCCTATTGACAAATAAGGCTTAGAAAGGCCCATTAAGCTTATTGGGCCTGGACCAACTCAAGCCTGGTCTTTTCTTTTTTTTTTAAATACTTCTCTTCAAACTTGTCTTGTAAGGAAAAAATTTGTTAATAGTTTTTTTTTAAAAAAATTAAAACCCCTTTGACAAATAAGGCATGAGCCAGGGCTGGTCGGGAGAATATCAGGCCTGATCTTTTTTTTTTTTAATTTAATTTTTTTAGAAAATATAAAACCCCTGTAGACAAATAAGGCTTGGCCAAGGAAGGCCCATCAAACCTATTGCGCCTGGCCAGGCCCAACTCAGGCCCGACAATTTTTTTTATTTTTTTATTTTAATCTTTGTCTTGACTTGTAAAAAAAAAAAATTGCTATTTTTTTTTTTTATGAAATTTGAAACCCCATTGACAAATTAGGCCTAGCCCAGAAAGTCCCATTAGACCGGTCATTTTTTTTTAACTTTTCTTGTAAGAAAAAAAAGAAAGAAAATATCTATATACCTTTTATTTTTAGGTTTCATTTTGCAATGGATCCAAAGTTTTGAAAGACATGTTAAGGTATAAAAATTGTAAATTTTATCTCTTCTAATCCCTTGAGGTAATTTAAACCAGCTAATTTAAATTTTTTTTAGGTCAAACAAATTTAAAAAAAACATGCTTTCTCTCTCCTACTCATTGCCCCTCTCACTCTCCATCTCGTGCCCATTACGTCCCTGTTCTTTCCCCCTCTCTCTATACAGAGCTCACTGTTTTGTGTCTCTAGCTAGAGAGAGAATGGACAGTTAATCCGATCCCCAACCACTCCTCTCTCTTCTTATCTTTGTTCCTGGTTTTCCCGAAACCATTCCTCTCTTTTCTTATCGCTCCTCCTGGTTTTCCCTCGACAAAGCATAACTACCAAGCCACGAATCGCCTCATCTCTTCTCCAAATCAATCACGAGGGGAAAAAAAACCCTGCAATGCATAAAAAACACCCCACAAATCGCAAGTCCACAACTCCATATCTCTTCTCCTCCGCTCTCTGTCTCTAAAGGATGTACTCTAAGGAATATGCTCTTCTTCTCTTTCTCTCTATTTGATAACCACAACCATCCCTTCCAATCGCAGTATCCCTTCCAATACCTTCCAATCGCAGTATCCCACTGCCAATGCCCACTTTATCCCCCCAACTCTTTTATATCTTGATCCAATCTCATATGGGTTCGATCCAATTCTTCTCTCTTCTTTCACCTACCCTCGTCTCATTCTTCTCTCTCTAAACCCACCCATTCACTGATGTCCATTAAAGTTTCTTATAACATTAAAGCTTTCTCTCTCTAAATTCTCTCATTCTTCTAAGTTCTAACAATTGAACCAGCACTGCAAGAAAGAAGGCATGGCTCAGTAATATCAAAACCCCAAACCCACTAAAATTATTTTGACTTCCTCTGTATTGACAGCTGAAAATAAATACAGAATGGGGCTTTGGTCACGCTACTGAGATTGGATCAAGCTTGCAGGATGAGAGAGAAATAAAAGACTTTAAGCCCGGTTGGAACACGGTGGTTTGAGGAAATAGAGAGAGAGGTAATGGGGCATGAGATAGAGAAAATGGGGGGAGGGCTTTAAGGAAGTCGAGAGAGGGAGACTTAACGGGCAAGAGAGAGAGTTTTGGGGTTATTGGTCTTTGGTGGTTTGCGGAAAAGAGAAAGGTAATCGGGGTAGAGAGAGAAAGAGGTTGGAAAATAAGGAGGTAAAAGGAAAAAGAATTTATCGAGGTAATAAGTGAAGAGAGAGAAATGATTGAGTTTAAAAGAGTTTGTTTTTTTAACATTTGTTTAGATTAAAAAATAGATTTAAAGTAGTAAAGGGTTTAAAAGATATTTTTTCAAATTTTAGTTTTTATTGAAAAAATAAAATCTAAAAATAAGGGATATAAAGATATTTTTTTCAAAAAAAATTGCTCACTATTTTTTCAAAAATTAAAAACCCCTTTTGAGATTTTAGATAAAGAGAGATTGGGTTTTTTGTGAGAATGAGATATGGGGTTTCTAGAGAGCGCATGAGTTTTTTTAGAGATGTGGATTTTTAGAGAGGGAATGAGTTTTAGAGACAGTAAAGATTGTGATTTTAAAGAGACATTGGGTTTTTAGATAGAGAAAAAGAAAATGAGGTTTTAGAGAGAATGAGTTTTTAGAAAGAAAAAGAGAGACGCGGTTATATATAGAGAGAGAGTTGTTAGGGAAAGAAAAAAGATTGGGTTTCTAAAAGACTGAAATAGAGTTTTTAGAAATAAATTGGGTTTTTAGCGAGAGAGAAAAATTGGATTTTTTAAAAAAATGAGAGTTTTTAGAGAGAGATCGAGGGTTATCCCAATAGCCTGCTTGGATGATGGCACCCAGCGAGTACTCATATGTCGATGTCAATGGTCTCTCTCTCCATTTGAAACTGGTCTCTCTCTCTCCACTTGAAATAGAGATCTCTCTCCACTTGAAATGGGTCTCTGTCACTCACAAGTGTGAAATAGTGTCTCTCTCTCTCCATTTGAAACGGGTTTGTCTCTCCATTTGAAATGGGTCTCAATGGAGAGGAAATAGAAGGGCCGACATTTTCCTCAAGCCACTTTCTTCAAGGTGCGTTTCTTTCTCTCTGGCCTGCAAAATATAGGAAGGGGATAACCAAAATAAATGGGTTTTCTTTTTTGGGCAAAATCTCAATACGCACGCATAAAGAAACAGTCCTATTTCGTGACATTATAGCAGATATTTATTTTTATTTTATTTTGATCTTACCACAAATACTAAAATTTTGAAGAGTGAAAAAAAAAATCGTGCTTAATGGACCAGGCCTTATATGGGCGATAGCTTATTGGGCATAAGGGAGGCATTCCGGGCTTATCTGGGCATCATGGCCCGTTGGATATTTTCGGGCTTTCTATGGCATGGCCAGGTCTGAAATTACAACATAATCATACAAGGCCCGGCCCGAAAACTGGCAAGTTAGCGGCATAGAACTAGGCCCGGCCCGGAAGCCCAAGGTCTGGCCCTATCCATTGGCAGTCCTAGCAGGAAACCGTAACTAGTTATCGGGTGCTGTCACTCGACCTAGCCCCTTTCCTGGAATTTAGGGTTCTCAAGTAGTCATTATCTCACCCTTCAAAATTGGATGGTCTTTGTTCAACTATTGAATTTTTCTTTTTTTTGAGGCACCTAAAAAATGTGTGATTTGAAAATGTTTCTTTTTATTGAGATTGATAGCTAGGTTGAGAGGTTACATCCCCAGATTTTGATGCACTAAAATGGTTACATTGGGTTTTACCTGAGGAAGTAAATGCATAGTATGTCCTGTGGGAGCACTAAATCTGTTGGCTAAATTTCTACTTCTATTATAGACTACCCTTTAGTGATAAATATATATCGGTTATTTTTTAAAATGAACATTATTATATACATAAGCTTAATTCTATGTGTTGTTTGCTGAGGGATCATTAATCATACATATGTTATATATGGAGAACTACCAAGAGTGAGAAAGCTAAATAACTGTAATAAAAAAACAAAAAAATGATCGACATGAAAATTTTAAATATATTGATGGATTTTAACAGGTTGAAGCATTAAGAAGCTAAAAAAATATGCTATTTTAATAAATCCTAAAAATAAAAATTCTACTCCAGTTGCCCACAAGACGCAATATATCTAGTGTTTGGACTTGTATTATCAAAGAGATTTCAAATCCCACTAATCAAGAATGAGACTTTGGACCCAAGACTTGGCAGTCTTGTTTGCTGACTAATTTTTTGTATGCTTTTCTTAAAAGTTTTAAACCCTTAGAAACATGGGGTTGAAATTGAGAGCATGTGGTCTGTATCTTCTGAACGCTGGGGCGCTTTAAGGGCTATCATGGAAGACATGCATTTCCTAATTCATGATATTTCCACTTAGTTTCTCAGAAAAAAAAAGTTGAAACATGGGAAACAACATAGCCATGCGTTTCTATAGGGTGTGGTTTGCATAAGGCTGAAGCCCTAAACAATCAAAGCAAGGCGCACGCTGCACACCTTCAAACAGCAAGATGCTGTTTCAGTACCGAAAATATTTATGATGGTCTGAAAATTTATTTTTATCTTTCAATATAAAATTTAAAGCGTAAAAAATAGTGTAAAAATCTATGAACACTTGAAAATTGACGGTCTAGATAATGCATTGCAAGATGCACTATTTTTAAGACTTGAAGTCCATTGTTTTTCACATCCATGTATCACAAGCTCGAGATGATCGGATTTGAGAATTTTCGACATCAAAACAAGTTCTTCTAGTGAATTTTTGAGGTGCGCCCTAGTTTGATTGTTTAGGGCCTCAACCTTATACAATGTTTTCCCTATTTACTGTAGTAATTCTTACTCCACAGAGAGATGTAGTGAATTTGGATTAACATGGTCTAAAGTTTCTAGGAAGCTAAACCGAGGGAGGGAGGGAGGGAGAAGAATCAAGTAAACTTGGATTAACACGGTCTAAAGCTTCCAGGAAGCTAAGACTTCCAAATTGGAGCATATTTGAAATCTGTTGCATCACAATTCCATACGTTTCATCTTTTTCCACAAAGTTTGGTTCCTATGAATACTTCATGTTGCATATCTTGACCTACTTCTGGGGAGTCAACCATTACACAGTAACTCTTGATATGTATATAGTAAGTGGTATCTGGAGAAGGAAGAGATTCAAAGAGGAGCTCCATCCATCTATTCTCCATTCAAAAGATAAAATGGGGTTGGCCTATGCATTGCCGTCTTCTCCCACTGTTATGCTTATTGCCATGGTTGCTGGCTGCTTCATGTTCGTCACTGTTTTGCAGGCACATCACACATTCAATAATTTAACAGATGAATCCTCTCTCTACGAATTTAAGAGAGAGGCTGATCCTTATGGCGTGCTAACCACATGGAATGCAAGTGTTCCTTTGTGTGACTGGCGAGGTATCACTTGTGACCAAAAGCGCGAGCGAGTGGTAAAATTGGAACTCCAGGGCCTTGGCTTGGTAGGCAGCTTCAGTCCTCACATTGGTAATCTCTCATCTCTTATTGCCCTCGACCTTAGGAATAACATTTTTGTTGGCAAAATTTCAGAAGAGATTGGTCGATTATCTCGCTTAAAGAAACTCTATCTAGGTAATAATAAGATTACTAAAATCCCAGCCAATATTACGGGATGTTCTCTTCTTGAAATCCTTGATTTGTCTTCAAATAATATTAACAATGAAAGCCTTCCCTTGGAACTCACCCGATTATTGTACCTACAAGAATTGTATCTTTTTAATAATCATTTCATTGGATCGATCCCGCCTTCCTTTGGAAACCTTTCATCTCTGATCTCCCTTGTCTTGGACGACAATGCATTACAGGGATACATACCTGCAGAGTTGGGCAAACTGATGAAACTGGAGCGATTGCTCCTTAATGAAAATAACTTGAGTGGCAGGATTCCTTCTTCCGTCTACAATATATCATCCCTTGTCTTTCTATTTGCAATTCATAATAAGCTTGTCGGGAGCATCCCGCCATATGTCGGAAACCTAGTCAATTTGAAATACTTAGTTTTGAGTTCTAACAACATGGGTGGTAATATTCCAGCTGAAATCGGACAACTTCAACAGTTGAAATGGTTGGACCTGTCAGACAACTATTTTTCGGGTAAAATCCCTTTGAGTTTAGGAAATTGTTCTTCTCTTGCTAACATTGATCTCTCCAAAAATAAGATAAATGGTATCATACCTGCATGAATTTTTACCTTGCCATTGATATATATTGGCCTCTCAGACAACAAGTTATCTGGAAATATTCCGAAGTGCATTTCTAACACATTTATTGAAATCTACATGGCTAGAAGCTCATTAAATGGATCGATCCCTTCCTCACTAGGCAAGTTGGGACAACTGCAACGTTTGGACCTCTCTATGAATAATTTGCGAGGACAGATTCCAGTGACATTCAAGAATCTTACCACAATAGTTGAACTCAATCTGTCTAACAATCACTTGTCTGGAGAATTTGTTGAGAATCTGAAATACCTTTGGAATTTGGGACTCTTAGATCTTTCGCGCAATGAATTGGAAGGAGAGGTTCCGGATGACGGGATATTTAAGGTTTTTTCTGCAAATGATCTCCGACTCAAAGGAAATAAAAACCTTTGTGGTGGTACAAGTATTATGAAGTTGCCTGCTTGCCCTAAGCCTAGCCAAACACAAGCTGCTCATGGAAAGCACAGCCACAAAGCAATGAAAATAGCAATCCTTGCCGTAAGTGTGTCAATATTAATGATTCTATTATGCACAACTTTAATAATGTTTCAGAGAAAGAGATTGAGAAATGGCATCGCACCTAATTCCCCACCCAGTGCACAGATAAAGAGGGAATACATACAAATTTCATATGCAGAGCTCTCATATGCTACTAATGGTTTTAACATGGACAATCTGATAGGTTTCGGTAGTTCTGGCTCAGTTTTCAAGGGAATCCTCTATGATGGAGCCATTGTTGCTATTAAGGTTCTCCACTTAAAACGTCGAAGAGATCTCAAGAGTTTTGTGGCAGAGTGTAGAGCTCTAAGTGGCATTCGACACAGGAATCTGGTAAAGCTAATCACTTATTGCTCGAATCTCCAAGGTAATGAGTTTAAAGCACTTATATTTGAATTCATGCCTAATGGAAGCATGGACAAGTGGCTTCATCCACCTACTCATTTGGTTAGTAAAAGTGGAAACCCCCATTTCAACTTAAATCTCTTACAAAGGTTGAGCATCGCAATAGATGTGGCCTCTGCAATGGATTACTTGCATCACGATTGCCCAACTCCTATAGTGCATTGCGATCTAAAGCCGAGTAACATTCTTCTCGACGAGAACATGAAGGGACATGTGAGTGATTTTGGATTGGCAAGAATTCTGTCTTCAACAAATCTATTGGAATATAAGAGCAGCACACTTGGGCTCAAAGGATCCATAGGACACATACCTCCAGGTAATAACTACTTCGTTTTTGCCAGTAAAGAAAACATATTTCTCTCCAAATTTACTATAAAAGTATTTTTGTACAGGGATTGTATACCGTGAGACCATTTACTTTGGGTATAGGGATGTCACAATTACTTATAACCATCCGATGTGAAATTTGATAGATTGGGTGTGTTACCAAGTTCGAGAAAATTTCTTTTGACTTTTGAGCTTGGTGAATGAAATAAATGCAGCCACCTAATTTCACATCTAATGGTCAAGATTAATTGTGATCACCTTGTACCAAATGTAAATGCGCATATTATATACTTTCCTTTTTTCACAAAGTATATTTTTTTAGATCTTTTTTTTTGTTAATAATAATGAGGACTAATTTGAAGTACTTGCCAATGATGTAGAGTATGGTTTTGGTGTTAAAGCATCGACTAAGGGAGATGTTTACAGCTTCGGTATTCTCTTGTTAGAGATGTTCACAGGGAAGAGACCAACCAATGACATGTTTTTGGATGGATTGACTCTTCGTGAGTTTGTGAGAAACTCTTATCCTGACCGAGTTATGGAAGTTGCTGATAAGAGGCTCTTGGAAGAAGGTGGAACAAACAGGGGATGGGAATGGAAAGATGAGATGCAATCAAGCTTGGCGGCCATTATGGGCATTGGATTGTCATGTTCGATGGAGTCAGCTAAAGGTCGAAGCAACATGAGAGACGTCTTGAAAAATTTGCAGGATACTAGAAACTCGATATTGAATTTACATTCAAGGAGAGAGATGGAGGCACCTTGTGATTTATCTTCCAGCTCAGGCCCCACAGCTCTCATCAGTCACCATTGTTGATAAAATGTTTTTCATTCCCCCCCTCCTCCACCTTTAATCTCTCCCTCTCTCTCAGAGAATCACATGGTAAGTATCCATATAGTATACATATACACTTGTACCAGAGAGCTTTATAGTGCTACTTATCAATCAATCAATGAGAGTAAATTTTACGATGTAATAAAAGGATTGTATAGACCGTTATTGCTTCTAGCAATTAGATATCATATCGGATGACTTGAGGTGAGTCATAAATTTTGAGATTTTTTTTTTTGTTGAGGTTAGTCAATGATACAACCACCCGATTTGAAGTATATTAAAACGTAAATCTTTTTGTATATTTTTCCTATAAATAAAAGATGTTAAACGATCATTGGTAGGGAATAGGTAAAATACGTAAAAGTGGGTCAAGATGCCTCACTTATATTTCCCATCTTTTCATATGAAAAGATAAAAGGTGAAATTGGAGGAAACATGCTTTTTTTTTTTTTTCCTTTTTTTTTTGAGGTAATTTAGTGGGGAAGATAGACCGTACCCGTTTTTCAAATAGTTTAGGAGTTAGTGTTTTTGAAGTTATTAGTATGGTGGTTTCATTGAGAATAAAAACCATTGGACTATGTTCTTATTTGGAAGTCTTAATTTATTTTTCGTTTACTCAATAGAGTCAACAATCTTATTGTAATTGACAGCGACTGCATGATCGCTTTGTAGTACACATATTTTATTTGGGATCCACTTGAGAAGTTATTTAGGTCAATAAATTATTTTTTTTGTTAATAAGAAAATACTATACAGTCACAAAAAATACAAGTGTTAATAGATTTCTCTCATAAGCCCTAAAATGAGTTTTTTTAGTCTAGAATATTGATGTTTTTGAACAATGGAGAACTTTGAAAAAAAATAATGTCTCAGCTTAAAATCTATGAAAGCTAACAACGCCAGTTTCAATGGCTCTGGTAATTGAATAGAATTTCTTAGAACAGTATTATGAAAAAAATAATAGTAAGCCACGAATGATTAGTAAAAATGGGAATAAATCCCAAGATAGAGCATGCTTTTCCATTGAAACCCCAAAATGAAGTGATTCATACACCATCGCATCTCGAAGTATCTTATTTTTAGTTTTTTCATACAAATTGTATGGATGTGAAATTTGGTACGTGTCATCTTCTCATTGGGATGCACTTATAAAAAAATATTAAAAATAAATTTTCGATAAAATATAATGATAAAAATACCCTTTGAAAATTTTTGGGGGTATTTTGTTCATTTTATCTTATTGAAAATATTGTTTTTATGTTTTTCACTAGTGCGAGTTTAATAGAGGATTGGATGTACAAAATTTGGTGTCAAAATAGTTTATAGAAAAAAATTAAAAATAAAACAGTGTAGATACGTGACATTGTGATTGGGGCAATCTTAGCACTCCATTCAGAATGAACGGTTGTTAGTAAAATCTTTTAACATCTCTCTATGTGTGTGTGGAGCATGTTAGAGGATTGGTCCCTCACTCCTCTGAAAAATGAAATGCACGTTGTAATGGTCCTAAGTGATCATCTTCTGTCTCTCCCTCCCCCCAAGAAACCCTTCAATTGTTTGTGATCTTACTTTTCTCATGCCTTCATGTAAAACTATCTCACCTATTTTTATGAGGATCTTGGATGAGTTTTATCTTAGTTATATGTTGCAACATATCACCCTCTTAAATTCAATTTTGTAGAAATAGAGAGAGAATTCATGAGTTCAAAATTCAAATATTGAAGGTGCAATGCTTGGTGCCTCCAAATAGTTATTTTCGCAAAGGTTTGCCTCCTTATACTGTATAAATAAGCTTTATGATGGCTCAAAAATTTATTTTCAACTCTAGTTATAAAATTTTAAATTTTAAAAATGATATAGATTGAGCAAATAAAAAAAGCTTTAAAATCTTGAAAATAGTCCATCCAAATAAGTTGTTACAAGATGAACTGTTTTTTAAACTCTAAATTCTTTTTTTGCTTCAAGTCTCTACATATCTCAAAATCCACATGATCAATTGGAGGGTTCTCTAAAATTAGTACACTCCCTTCTATAAGAATTTTGAGGTGCAACTTATTTCAATAGTATACGATTTCAACCTTATATAAACTTTTTCCTTTCATAAAAGCTTTTCTAAATGGTTTAAAAAGAAATTAGCCACAAACAAGATAAGTATTCAAGGACTTGGTCGAGTCTATTCAGATTTGTCTTAGTTACTTGGCCTTGACCTACAGCGAAGGCGAGTTGCGGTGGCCAACTCGGTTGTGATACTCAATTTATGGAATAAAAGATGGGTGCAGTTGGCATACGGATGCATCCGTAGCTGTAGAGGTAAGGTGCACCTTTAAATCTTATCATGGTATATAATTTTGATGTAAGATGTTCTTAAGATTATCTCATAATCTATTTTTATATCTAATTATAAAATTTTAAAATTAAAAAATGGTTAAAATCAAGTAGATCTACAAACATATGAAAATCTTGAAAATGGATGGTGTAGATAATATGTTGTAAAATGCACTATTTATGAGACTTAAAATCTTTTATTTTTCATGGTCATACATCTCGATGTCGAAATGATCAATCAAAGGGTTTTTCAACATTGAAACTATATTTTCCGATGGATTTTTGAGGTACATCCGTTGCTGTAGAGGTAAGGTTTCAACAGTTATTCAATTTCTGGATTAAACACCTTGTTTGATTTTTTCAATGGTTGATTACTTTGTAAAAGTCTGGAAGCTCACAAGGCTTGAGGCTCACGTATTGGACACAAAAAAAAAACAAACAAAAACAAAAAAAGACGGGGAAAGGAGAGTGGTCACACTTATTGAAATATACCTCTCTATCTAAGTGTTTAATATTAAACTTTTTCTATTATTCTTACTCAAAATCACGTGTATTTTGTAAAATAAATTCTATATTAAACCAAGCATAGGAGTAAAATGTTAAGGGATTGTAAATAAGGAAACCAGTTATCTTTATTACAAAGAAGTCACAATCACTATTATCTATTAGATGTTAAATTGGATGGCTTGGGCTAGTCACAAAGTCGAAATTTTTTTATCTTTGAGTCTTTTCAATGATACTCTTATACCACCCAATTCGAAATCCAAGGGACGAGAGTGATTGTGACTTTCTTGTACAAATAGCTTATATATGGGTTGAAAAATGAAAAAGAGTTGTTTTGCTGTCAAGCCAAACGAGTGGTACTAAAGTTGTAAGCCTGACCCTATTCATGTATGCATTTATAGCATGCCTTTGACCTTCGTATAATAAATCGAACTAAATGACTTGGAAATCAAATGACTGTGGACTTGGAAACTAGATATGGTCTAAGCTTGTTAACCGGTCAGGTTGTAGCTCGGCCACACTTGGCCCAGGTCCAACCTGAAATTGTGCAGGGCATGCTAGGCCCCGGTCAGGCTAAAAAGTTTTTATTTGGGCTTTGCACAGGCCCAATCCGAATTCATAATAACATGGTAGGAACATGTTCCTAACAAATCAAATTCAGGCAAGACCTTATAAATATAAGTATATATATGTAATATGTACTTAAAAAGTTTTTGAGGGTCCAGATATAGAAGATGGACCCCTTTTCATATATATATTAATCTCAAGGTTGAGATGATTGATTTGAGGAACCTTTCGGTATAAAAAACAACTTTTTTTGGTGGGTTTTTCTAGATGCACTTTACTCAAACAATATAAGGTTGATTTTTTTTAATAATATATAAAAACTATTAGTTATTTCCAAAGCCCACAAGTTAATCTATAAAGTTATAGATGGAGTTGGAGAACGTGGACGCAGACCCGACTTGTGCATTAGGGTCCATATCATCGGGTTGGGTCGACCCTTCCTGATTGCCACCCCCACCTTCCATTAATTAAAGATACCCAAGATGAGCATGGCTCTATAACATATTTTAAGAACCATTTCTTGGGTCTTTGGGCAATCCAAAGTAACATTTATTCCATTCTTATTTTATGAGAAAGCATACAATTAGATCATTCACCGTAAAATAAGCTGGTTGACAATGTCTCATAAAATATGAAAGGGAAAAATAGGTCCAAGCAGCTAGCTTGGCTTGAATGGGCTAAGGACTAGGTTCAATATTTTCTCGGGCCTTGTTCCTTGTGCAGGAAAAAGTCATACTATTATTCGATTCCACATTCTAAGCGAGGAATAGTAATTTTAACCGTTTATAGTCTTTTCTAAATATAACATTTAGAATTTGGGAAAAGTTTATATAGAGCTTAGGTTCTAAACAATTAAATTAGAGCCTACCTCAAAATTTTCACTAGAAGAGGTTGTTTTGATGCTCAAATATCATAAAAATTGATCATCTCGACATCAAGAATGGACATAAAAAAAATAGATTTCAAGTTTTGGAACTAGTGCATTTTGTAACGCATTTTTGGACTGTCAATTTTTAAGATTTTCAAGTTTTCATAGATATGCTCTTTCTACACTATTTTTGAAACTTTAAATTTTATAACTAAAGATGCAAATAATTTAAGGCTATTACAAAACTTTCTAGTATTGAAACTACATTTCTCGACACTATTTGAAGGTAGGCTCCAATTTGATTATTTGGAGCCTCGGCTCTATACAAACCACATCCTTAAGAATTTTGCAGGGTATCAGCACTAGAAAAACCCTTCATCAAAATACACGTAAGTGAATCACTAATTTAATATTTTATCCATATCTTTTACTTTAATTTAAAAATACACATCAAAATACACACAATCATGAATTGGAATAGTTGAAAAAGGGCAAAATGTTAAATTGTTGAATAGTTAGGTGTATTTTGATAATTTGGCCTTTTTTGTTGTCTCATACAACTCGAGACAATCAATTGGATTGTTTTTTTAAGGTTCGCCTTATTTCTACATTACAATGTTGATGTCTTAAACTTTTTCACATGTACATATACATATATAAATGGGAAAAGTTTACATAGAGCCTGGGGCTCTAAACAATCAAATTAGAGTCTACCTGAAAAATTTCACTAGAAGAGGTTGTTTGGATGCCCAAATATACGCAAATTGATCATCTCGACATCAAGATGCATGGACTAGAGAAAAAAATGGATTTCAAGTTTTGGAAATAGTGGATCTTGTAAGGCATTTTGGACCATCAATTTTTAAGTTATTCAAGTTTTCATAGATATGCTCGATCTACACTATTTTTTAAGCTTTAAATTTTGTAATTAACGATAAACACATATTTTAAGGCTAATCAAATATTTACAGTATTGATACTATATTTCTCGACACTATTTGAAGGCAGGTTCTAATTTGGTTGTTTAGAGCCTCGGCTCTATACAAATCGCACCCTATATAAATACAAACATAATATATACATACATATACTACATTGGGAGGGTGCATCTCAAAACAATCAAAGTAAAAGATAGCTCTAAATCTTACTAAAAGATACAATCTTGCTAAAAGGTATAATTTTGATGTCAAAAACCCTTACAATGGCCTAAAATTTATTTTTAATCCTTAATTGTGAAATGTAAAGTTTAAAAAAGGGTATAAATTAAGCAGATCTACAAACACTTAAATTTTTTGAAAATAGATAGTCTAAAATGTATTATGAAATGTGCTATTTCTAAGATTTGGATTTTTTTTATTTTTTTATTTTTTCATATATACATACTGACCTTTTTATAAAAAAAAGTTGTTAACGCAATTTCATTATCACATTCAATGTGTTCAATGAGAGGCGTACAAAGGCACCATCGGAACCAGAAAGAAGAAAAACAAAGAACAAAAAGAGAGGTGTGGTTTGCATAATGTTGCAACCTTAAACGATCCAATTAAGGTTCACTTCTAAATTTTATCCTAAGATGTAATTTTGGTGTCAGAAATTACTTGAATTGTCTGAAAATCTATTTTCAACTTTAATTATAAAATTTTAAACTCCTAAAATAGTTTAAATCAAGTAGATTTTATACCCATTATAATCTTGAAAATGAACGGTTTCATTAA